TGCCCAAGAACACAACACAATGTCCCCGGCCAGGGCTCGAACCCGGACCGCTCGATCCGGAGACGAGCGCACTAACCATGAGGCCACCGCGCCTTCCTCCCTGGCAATTAAGAAGGCAGGAATATTATCCTAGCGCCATAAGGTTTTTATATTCAGTTTACACGCAAAAGGTTGTACTTAGCCCTAGCACCAGGATCTCTCGAGTGCTAGGATCTTGCAAGGTGAGAGATAAGGAGATCCTAGTTCTAGGAAGATCCTAGCACCATTTAAACTACCTTCCCTCGGAATTCTCGATCCTAATACTCGGAACAAAAAAACAGAAACCTAACCAAACATGGCGATGTCAGAGCGGCCGACTACTTAAGGCCAACAATTTCATCTTATTTTTCTCCTCCACTTGATAGCCACCTTGATTTAATCTTTTTTGCATGTAAACCAAACGAAACGTTATCTCGTATCTTTCTAGTGCCAGGATCTTCCTCCCTTCATGTCACCAACCACTTACACTAACCTATCTGCTGTCTCACTGTCGGTTTTCTTCTCCACGATATTTANGGAACTAATAGATGGCTTCCTCTTCAGTTTCAACGCCAAAGTCCGCATTCTTGACATCACTGGGGACTCTCTTGGTTGTCCTAGAACCACTCAAACAGATGAGGGCAGATCTCAAGAGTGCAAACGACGTTTTTGCTCTGATCCAGGAGATCATCTTGGTGTACTGTTCTCTCTATTACTATTACTACTATTATTACTGTTGTTGTTGTTGTTGTTGTTATTATTGTTATTATTATTATTATCATTATTATTACTATTAATGCATTATTATTAATCGTGAGAGAGCAGTACAGCCCAAAGTACATGTCATCTACACCAACACTTATTTTAAATTCATTACAAGTATAATTAACATACATTGTACAATTTACATGTACATGTAGGTGTGAGTAATGTAAATGGCATGTGCAATACACAATAACACTGCACATTAAAATTAAACTGTCCTGTAAGTTATATGTATTGAAAAAATAAAAGACTGATTGGCTTGTATTACCACTCTTTTGTGCATCTCTGCTGAATTGCCGACTGAGTCTGCGCATTTGACCACCAATGGTGGTATCCTTACGATCACTGGCTGCAGCTTCATCATTAACAGTTACTTTACCTGTAGCAGCATCAGGGATAACATGAAGTGCTGCTGGATCATCTCCAGGTATTCTACCACTAGTATTATCCTGAGGAGTATTCAAATTGACAGAAGCAGCAACAGGTACATTTACACTATTTCGTTTAGGCAAAGAGCCATGTGTAGCATTCTGGTTTGCCTGCTCATTCACAGCAGTAGTGTTCTGATTCAGATTAGCACCACTGTTGGTACCATCGATATTCTGTCTTTCAGCAGTACCTGAAAATAAAATTTCACAGACAAGAAGTGATTCAACTGTGCATCATAAAATATAACATACATGTACATGGAAGAGGAAAATATGCAGTGTGCTTGTACTCAGAGTACTCAAAATGCTTCAGGTACCTTAAAGCAGAAGTACCCTGTTCACACTCCATTGGATTCATTAAGGGCCGGGCACCGGGCAAATTGACTGCCTGTGAGCACAACTTTGCCCGGCTGTTCAACTCTGGGCTTTTAATGCGGTTTTTGTGTATAAAACTTGAATGCAAGTTGCTTTTCTTTGATTTCTGCATGTGCCTTCCCAAAAATAAAACTGAAATTCTTTTAAAAAAAAGAAAATCTCCTTGTCTTATTCCTTCCTTGACACTGCTCATGTATCGCCCCATGATTCATTGCAAAAGGAAAACTGATTGACGGTCTACATGAAAACCCATCTTGAAATCTCCCAGAATTGCGATGGCTACCGACAAAAGAACCATCGCGCAATATTTTCCTGTTCGACCTCTGCCTGAGAAAAAGTCAAGAGGTAAGTAGTGATTTAACCATTTCTTTTTGGAATGTTGAATGGCTAACTTCATGCTCAGTGAAGAGTGAAATCTTTTCAAGACCCAGTTAAGTTTATTATCATAGCTGTGTCAAGATTTTTAAATATGATTAAGCAATGTTTAACACATGTAGATATCGAACTCTCTTGTTCAAGGCGATTTCATGTATAGAGTCGAAACATTTCAAAATATTTTGTATAGACAAAATGTTCTAGATTTTTTGTTCAAAAAAAGAAGACAACGAACGATTGTTATTCATGTTCAGTGAAGAGTGAAATATTTTCAAAGACCCGATTAATTATAAGCTTATTATCGTAGTACAGGTGATTTGTAAACAACAATGTTTAACACATGCAAAAATCGAACTCTCTTGTTCAAGGCGAATTTATAGCAAAGGTCCGAATCATTTCAAATTATTTTATATAAATAAACCTCTTCAATTTTACACATAATTCGAAGAAAGGATTGAACAATCGGTTCAACTTTTTAACTGGTTGCCTAGCACATGACCAATTTCTTCCCCGTTGCATGAGTTTCAAGTTTCAGCTTTATGTAAACAACAAACCAGTGAAAATGTAAATATAAGCTTGAATATTATTCACAGACACAGACATGCTGCTGCTTGTGCGGTCAATTGCTAATTTATTGTTTGAAAAGTCGAGTTTTAGATATACTATGAGCAAACCGTATTTTTCCAGATGAAGATGACTCTGATTACGGCTCAGATGCTGACAGTGAACTGAGTGACACTGACTAGTATTCAATACTTTTTTAGTCAGAGTCAGTTTTGTGACAATCTTATTGTCCAATAATCCTTCTTAAGATAGCTGCTGAGTTTATGTATGTAATCACTGTTGTTGCTATTTGAATTGAGAAAGGCAAGGCAAATCTGAAATGCCAAATAAAATTATGAATTGTTGGTAGAACATAATTATTTATTAATTGATTAATGACATCGAATTATGATTCACATCTAAAGAATGATCACTTTTTGGCAACTGAAGGATGTTGGGTTAATGTTATGCTTCAAAAGGCAGAAAAACAGAACTCTACAGCTGTAAAATTTTTAAAATTTGCCATGGGAGCATGTCCGGACCCATAGGAGGGGTAGGGCCATCAGCCCTTCCCATTTATGTGCCCGGCTGCCAAATCCGTATGCCCTCCTGTCAGAAATCTTAATGAATCCCCTGACACTCTTGTAATCTGCTTATTTAAACTAGGTTACAAACTCAACTAATTAAACACCTGGGCGGAGAGAGGTTAACTGTGAGAGTAAAGTGTCTTGTCCAAGAACAGAAAATAATGTCCCTGGCTAAGGCTCGAACCCGGATCACTTGATCTGGAGTCCAGAGTACTAACCACGAGGCCACCAAGCCTCCCTGGAAATAGCAAGGCTTAACTGTATATATACTGACAACACATTCAACTGTACTGACCCCCACAGGTGTGAGAATGGTGGCTTTTTTGTGGTTTAGGGGTCCAGTGATGAGAGAGTTGAGGAGTTCCCGGATTGGATGGAGCAAAACCTGGATTGATAGGTATAGAGACTCCAGATGGCTGAGCTGTTGAACCAGTGGTATGTGAGTTTCCATTTTCTTGTGCTAAAATATAAAAAGAGAACAAAATAGTGTGCATGCTGTCAGTAATATTGACTCTGTTTAATACAGGCTACACATTATTTACAATATTTTAATTAAAATTTTTACTTATGGGTAACAAATAATTAGAGCTCAATGTGTAATGATCATAAGCATTTGATTAAAATGATTACTAACATAACAAACAAGGCACCCAGGATTTCATGGTTGGGAGCCTTTAGGCTCCTTGTTATTTTTCTTAGACTGACAGCCCTGAATACCACCACAAATTTCTGACAATTTTAGCTCATGCCAACCTCTTAAATGTACCATCCTCTAATTTTACTGATCTAAATGTCAAAGAAGTAAAATGACAGCTTTAATATCCTAGCCTACAAACCTATTTGCCCATTTCATTGCCCACTTTGGGTTGGTGGTAGAGAAAGAGACGCACAGAAACTATCAGTAAAGGTGAAAAGGTGAAGTCTGCAAAATGTTATGAGCCAAGTGGCCCATCAGGCCAGACTTTATCTCTAGTTTCTGTTGCATGAAGCGACTAGGAGTATTCCTACTTCCCCATGGATGGGATGCTGGACCATTGCAGGGTTACTCCCCTGCATTAAACTTGCT